GAAAGGTATAATCCGGCTCTGCATATACCACATACGCACACACTTACTATAAATAAGATGTATATTCATACTCTAGAAATAATTCATATGGCAAAACAACGTTTGCCGGGTCAGCTAATATTAGTATATTATAATAATTAGTCCGAACGATGAGACATTGTTTAATAATTACATGTTTTGCTCGAGTTTATAGGCAATACTCTTTAATAAACAAACTTAATACTTTAATAAACTAACATTTTTATTCCGGAGATTTTTCGTCTTCCTATTTGTGTTTATTTTTAACGTATTGCATTACAATGTTAACCAATTGCTACACGAACATCAACGCGTGTGAGATCCGGTTTTAGTCGAGAAAAAACAGTAATGCTGTAAAATTTGTACCTGATAATTAGGATTTTACATAGAATCTTAAAGTGCGTCTAATAATTTGGCCGGAGACTATATATTCCACTTATGAACTTTTATTTGTTATCAACAAATATTCTATCTACTTCCCTTTCCGCATAAATGTAAAGTTATTTAAGTAAAACCATAAAAAAAAGACATCCTATCATTTCTATTCCGTTAACTTCGAATCGAAGAGGGAATCTAAATAAGTTGTTAAGAACAACAAGAATAAAATTCCGGGATTCTAATAGGAACAGTTTTATTGGGAATACGAACACGCTCTCTTAACCTCGAAACGGGAAGCTGCGAAATGACCACTGCCGATGACGTAAACACTTCAAATAGTTTTCGAAATTGGTCCAATCTTGAGCCACTGGAAGGAAAAGCATCATTAGGACTTCCAGGAATTGGACTTAAAGGTTTCTGGGAGTTCGAACTTTTATCGTTCTTCGATTTTCAAACGGGGACCATTTCAGATTTTCGACGCGAGGTGGCGGTGGCATCTTGGAAGAAACATGCACCATTTTTTAAAGCGAGTTTGATTTTTTTAACAATGTAATTAACTATGTAATATGTTTGATTTTTTAAAACTACGTATTTAACTATACAAAATGTTTGATTTTTTAAACTACGTATTTAACTATGCAAAATGTTTGATTTTTTAAAACTATGTATTTAACTACGTAAAATGTTTGATTTTTTTATCTATGTATATAACTATGTAAAATGTACGTAAATTATAGTTTCTAATACGTAGTACGGCTTTAATGCAAAAATTGCATAAGTGTAATATTTTTTCATTATAAATAAGGAAAAATCTAGATCAACTTTATAAAAAATACTATCCACTAGTCAAAATCATTTTATAATAATGTCACTGCACTGTTTTTCAAATTCAGTTCAGTTTAAGTTTGAAAAAGATGAAAAGTAGTTTCGTTGAAACCTGTTACAACGTACGCAATACAGCCAGCATACATTAGTACTTCATTTACGTCGCACTAGAGCTGTACAATGGGCTATTGGCGACGTTCTGGGAAACATCCGTGAGGATGATCCGAAGGCATGCCATCATCCATTATTTCCCTTCAAAAACATAGTTTAAAAAATTTTCTAGGCCGTAATATTAAAACACATACCATTTTTAACTAATAAAAATAGTGTACTAGTTGTCGTAAATGACGCTATAAATACTTAATTATAAAATTTTCAGCTTTAAAATTTTATTATTAAAAGAAATTAAAGCATATATCGACACTTTTTTAACTACACATTGTTCGATAATAATAATCTGTACAGTTGGGTTAAATTTTGAATTCAGATTTTAAAATAAGCTGTTAATGGCAATTTGTTTATACTTAATCACTAAGAAACAACAACCTTAAAAGCCAACTACTACTACAAAATAATAATTTTGGCTCATAATAATAGTAGAAATTTTACAATTGTTTATAGATGTTTAAATTTAGGAGAATATAATTTTAAAAAAAATCATAAATATTTAGAATAACTACATTAAAAACTATGTTAGGAAATTAGGAGAATTTTAACTATTAATTATTAATACTTTTAATTTAAGTTTTTATTTTCTTTGACCTTATCCATTTCTTAATTTTTTTGCCTGCCTTTCTTTTTGATGTAACGGGAAGGTTTCTATTTAGAGGGCGAATTCTTGTAAAAGTTCTTCGACGACAAAATAAGCGTATTACTGCCTTATTCACTGCGGGATATCGTCCTTCTAATTCATTTGTAAGTTCTTTGATAACACTTTTCCTGACACACTTCCCTCCATGCTGCTGACGGAACAATTCATCCTACCTTAGAAAAATTTATCCATTCCATATTGCTCCCCTGTTGTTGTACTGAGAAAATGTTATTTCTAATTTTGAATCAATATTATTAAGACGAAATGCTATGTAACCAGCAATATGATTTAGTCCCTTTTCTTTTGAATTGATAATTTTGTTTCCAAAATTAAGGTCAATATCCCAAGACATAGTAGGAATGGAGTTAGTTAAGTCATGCATTATATCTTCAATGTTGTCTAGAACAGGGGGTTTCCAACTTACACGAGGCCGGGGGCCGCAATTAAAACATCAGTCAAATGGTGGACCGCAACTTTATCAACATTTTATATAGGACTCTTTTATGTTTGAAGGAACATTAAATATTACCGTCAGATTTTTATCAAGTTGTACAAAACAAACGCACTGAATTACGAATTAAAATATGAAGTAGATTTTTAAGCAACATAAACGATTAATTTTGCATTTGAATGCAAAATGCATTTCCTTGGATGCAAAACCTGAGAAATAAACTTTTTTGCACCGTTGGTATGTTAAATTTCACAGAAACGAAGAAATTATTTTTTTTAACGAAAGAAAAGTATTTTAAATCTATATAGGTTTTTTACGAAAATTGTCTGCAAAAAATGACAACTAATATATTTTAATTCGCGGGCAGCCAGTTGGTAACCACTGGTCTAGAATATAATTATTCTCGGAAACTATATTTTTTGGATGCGTATTTTTTAAACGCTTTTTCTAACAATTCCGCAGTTAAATAACAACCTATTTCTGAATTTTTTATTTCTATGCATACATTTGACGAAAGATTAGGTAGCTTTTTTACCATTAACAAGCGTTTAAGTTAAGAGCTAGTTAGACCGAACGCTCCGTTCCTGAAATAAAAGTTCAAGCTTTGCACCGCCGTGACGTCACAGGTGAAAATCGAAGGTTTGGCGCTGGGCGAGAGTTACTTCAAAGGAGTGAACCAGCCCTTCTCATTCTCTTTCGCCCTGATTAATTCAAATGTATTTTATTTTATCGAATGTGCTCAAACACGAATTAAAAAGACTGATATTTTAAGAAAAGTGATATGGGGTCTTTATGTAAAAAAATAACATTTTTGAATGACACTTATTATTACACCTGATAACTTCAAAACTATTAATCCTACCCAAGTCAAAATTGATGGACCAACATAATCTTGATGACATCCATCAATAATTCCATCATGAACTATTATATTTTTGACGAACAACCCTCACCCCAAAGTAGGAATTCGGACTGATTTATGATGACCCAGCATAAGAATAGCAACTTGGTTTGATAGTTTGTTTATTCATCCATCAGAAATGAAACATCAGAAATTTCCATCATAGTCTCTCAGACATCAATAGTTGGAACGATCATGCATAACCATCACCCCGATGTAGGAATTTGGACTGATTTATGATGGCCCAACATTAAAAAAATTGTTTTGATGGTATATTCCTGAGAATTCCTATTAAACCATCATGGATCTGTATAGTTGAAATCATCATAGACCATCACGGATTGTTAGTAAACGATAGTCAAATTTTTCTTGATGGTAAACCATCATTGTATGAAAGTAGCATTTTCCATCATGGAATGACGGAAGTTTGTTGGCATATCAAAAACCACCAATGCATAATGGAAAGTGTTGGGTGATGATGACCATCAAATGATGTTGGACCATCATGAATCTCACTGAAACCAACATGAACCATCAAAATGTTTTGATGGGACCATCAAAAATTTTGATTTGGGTATCAGCTGAAATTTTATTCGAGACAAAATTCTGATCAGGAAATGTATCTCACATGTGCAGACAGCTTCTACACAGCAAAGTGAAACAACTTTCGAACTATTTGTTCGATGGAGTCGCAATACCTGCCAACTTTTACGCATTTGGCGTAAAATTTTATTTCTATATTTAAAGTTGTAGCAAAATGTATACTTTCTATATATTTCTTACATTTATAAACGTAATTTTATAATCTTTTAGACCACCACTATTTTTAAATAAATTAAGCATATATATTAATATGCAATACTGTTGTGTTAAGAGGCATAAGCTTCCTCAAAATACAGCCTATGTATGTGCCTAATATTGTAATTTTAAATTCCATTTTACTACCAGTGGGGAAAATCATCGACGATAGGATTAAAAGTTGGCAGGTATGGAGTCGTGTTTAGTCTCATTCAAAAATACGCTAGGAATAATGTTTCATCTGTTTAGATACCAGATGCACAAATAGGGACGAGAATAAATTTGTATTTTTTTTTTGTACATAAGCCCTTATAACATCTAAACTATTAGTTCGTTCGTTTTAGAAATTTGTCTCCTTCAATTCAGCGTGAAAAAATGCATGGGGAACAATACCTCACTTGCTTCTCTGAAATATATTCATTCCTCCACCTCATATCACCCCAACTTCCCTCAAAAAAGTAGGGAGATCAGAAAGGGGAGTTTTCAGGTTTCATTTATGATGGCACAACAAAAATGTTTGTAAAAAAAAATTATTTTAAATATGATGCGATTCTCTAATTTTACGGGACACAAAAAAATAATTTTGATTTGTTTTGCTCATTTCACACGATTTAAGAAAGCAAGCAAAAAGAAGGCTGTGGAACATCGTTTCAAGAGTTGGCGATGCTGATATACTCCCGAGATGGGAGCTTGGCATCCATATGGCGTGCATTTAGATGCAAACAGGATCTCTCCATATGGATAATGGTTTTTTCTTAACTTGCAAAAGAGCATAGAAAGTTCACAGATATGTAGTGAGAAGTCTGGACTACACTTACCATAGAAAAATTTTGGGCGTTGGGTCTGTTCCAAGGGTCCGTCTGTAAAAGGCTCTGCAGTGGTTCCTGTAAATGGTGTGGAACCCTCTCCAGCAAGTCTTGAATACTGTGTTCTAATTGGTAGAGGGCACAGGATCGCAGACGATTGTCTTTTCGGTCCTCCCCTGACATCTTCATGTACTGCAAAAATAATAGCTACTGCAACTAGTAAGTATGAATGTACTGGCAGAATAGGAAACAAAAAGAACAAAAATCAGAACAGAAAAATATAAGTACATTACAGGGTGCTCCGTAAGACCCGCCTTTAATATACACTGGTGTAAGAAATTAAGAGAATTTGCAGACTTGTTAAATTATCTCTAGAACTACTGAACCTATTTTAATGAAATTTGATATAAACCTACATTGATACAATACAAAACAAATAACCATTCAACAATTGTAATATACACGCATGATCGTGCGTAACATTCGTTGGAGTCGGAAGGTATGAAACAGCTGTTGCATAATAAGCAAAAAAAATGGGTTAATAGGGGGATATGGTCCCCTATACAGGTTTGCAGCGTGATTTCATACTTGCAAAAAGGCAGTTTATCATTCCCTGTGGCAATTGGCCTGAACTGTCCTGTGGCAATTTCATACCTTCCTACTCCAACGAGTGTTACGCATGATCATGCGTGTATATTACAATTGTTGAATGGTTATTTGTTTTGCATTGTATCAATGTAGGTTTACATCAAATTTCATTAAAATAGGTTCAGTAGTTCTAGAGATGATTTAACAAGTCTGCAAATTCTCTTAATTTCTTAGGCCAGTGTATATTTCTCAAAAAAAAAAAATGAAAGCCATTCTTAACAACAATATCAAATAATTACTTAAATGAAAAAAAAATGAAAGACGAGTTTTGAAATTCTGAATTACCATTATTAAGTTTTAATAAACGCAAAGAAGTGTATAAAATCGCCTAAAACCATTTTATTTAAAGATGAAGTTCAAATGTGATACCTAAAAAAGGTTAATATATTCTAATTCCACTAGATAGATAAGTTGGTTTTTTGATAATTTTATACCCTCCGTTGCTCTTCTTGGCTTCAATAGAGATAGGCAAAAGCTTAGAACACCTTGGTTTTCTTTCTTGCATAAAACACAACTTTTAGTCCCTGTTAAGCATAGTGTTTCCTCACTTAATAAGTAAAAATATATGTATGTACATATGGGTGCATATACATATGGGTATAAATACGTCTATTAAAGATGCCCACAGCGAAACACTTTGTATACTAATTTTCTAAATTGACAAATAAATATCAATCGCAATAATATTTAATTAAATTATAATAATATAAATCAAATATTTATTATAAAAAAAAACGATTTTGCCAGTATTTTAACAAAAGTCATTAAAATATCGTATTAACTACAAAAGGAATAGTTGTAATATTTAATGGTACATAGGAAGTTCTAAATTAGTAGAGCAGAAATACTATATATTTCTTAATGTTTTTTCTCTCTTTTGTATTATTCATGATTAACCAAATGTCTGAATTCAAACTATTGTAATTTTGGGTTCAGAAATTTTCATATTCAAAGCTGTTAAAATTATGGTAGTTTTTGAAAGTTCTTCCTTCGTTTTAGTGAACTGCAATGACTCTTTTGAAATTTGGAAGTTTAAATAATTGTAGGGGATCGCAACGCCATCTGGGGAGAAGACCCGTTTCATGTCTTTATCTCTTCCCCCTTCCCTCTTCTTCTCTTTTTCGTTGCATAGGAATGTACTACGATATTTTCTATTTTCTTAATATTTTTCGTATTTAATTGCTAAATATATTTTTCAAAATTTCCATGAACATTTCTATATGTTAAATGTGGTTTTTTAGTTCCATGCAGCTTCCCAACTTAAAAGATTTTGATCTATTTAAAACTCGAGACAGAAACTAACGTACTAGGACTCCCCATACGCTAATGGTGAAAGCATGCGAAGTGTTGCCGTGAGTTCTGTTTCACGCCACCTGTAGCCCATTTCGATCGCCAATATTACTGTATTCTCAGTAGATAAATTTCGAAGACTAGAGACATTGATTATTTTATTTTTGTAACTTTTTGAAGACAGATGGGAAGGCAAGTATAGTTCGTTCACCAGGAGTTGGCACTTGGCTCCGCCTTCATCACGTGGTATCCGACGATACTATTTCGCAGAAGGATGAATTCTATTTGGAAGAAGGATGTGAACAATCCTGAACAAAGTTGCAATTTGGCGACCGTATGACAAAAATATTTATTTCGCAAATCTTTATGCTCATCTTTTTAACATTAAATATTTCATAAATTTGATTATATTTCTCTCTTTTCAGTGAATAGTTTGTCCTTTTTGAGACATTTTGATGCGATATATTTAACTAGCTAGAGTGACGAAAGGTATAATAACAGATGATAAAGAGTAGTAAGTGACTGAAAAATAATTCACTGTTCGCGTTTGGTGCGCATTAAGGGTTGTCTCAATTTCAGGCGCGGAGACGTTTCTCCTCTTACTCCCGCGTTGAAATTAACTCTTCGTCCGAGGAGGTGAGAGCCAAGTGCTCACTCCGGGTGAACGAACTATACTTTATTTACGCCGCACTAGAGCAGCAAAATGGGCTATCGGCGACCATCTGAGAAAGATCCCTGAGGGTAATCTGAAGACATGCCATCACGATTTTGATTTTCAGCTGAGGGGATGGAATCTTTATTTTCTGTAAATCTGTCCAATAAGTATATAATTGAAAAATGAGTTAAAGAAAACACTAAGTGATAAAAATATAAAGTTTTTGACATTCTGCTTTTCTCTGCAAGTTTCCAAATCAGTTATACAGGTCTTCAACAGATATTATAATCTATATTATATAAAACGCTAATACGTATGTATCAATAAAACCGATGATATTTCTTTTCTCGCGTTGGCAACTGTTGCTGCTGTTGCTGTTGTTAATTTACGTCGCACTAGAGCTGCACAATGGGCTATTGGCGACGGTCTGGGAAACATCCCGGAGGATGATCCGAAGACTAGCCATCACAATTTTGATCCTCTGCGGAGGAGGGGATGGCACCCCCGCTTCGGTAGCCCGACGATCTGCGCGCGAAGTCGAGCACTTTACGGTAGCACAGTTTAACGAGGACCAATACCGCACACCCTCGGTCCCTACGCAGACTGATCCAAGTGGTCACCCACCCGCACACTGACCGTAGTCAGTGATGCTTGACTTCGGTGATCTGCTGGGAACCGTGTCTTAACGATCAGTTCACTGCGGGACCGCGTTGGCAACAGTTTTCATTTTTAATTGATAGGCTTCGGCGCGCAAGATCACGTACTGAGCATCATATGGCTAATCTATATTATATAAAACGCTAATACGTTTTAATTGATAGGCTTCGGAGCGCAAGAGCACGTAGTGAGCATCATATGTCTAATCGGGTGAATTCTCACCGAATTATCAAAAAAATTCTCACAAAATTATCTTTATCGAAGCCGATGCTTTACATCCCGCGTTCAGTACTATTTCATATTGTTTTACAACGCATGGATTTAGCCTTCTGGTGGGAAAGACTTTAAAACGAAACTTACAACAGTCACTTTTCTCAACAACTGAAATTTAGAATAGTGCGATTAAGAAAAATATGTGAACTGTTTGCAATTTCAAATTAATATTGAAATGCACAGGTTTAGAATTTTCTACAGTGAAAAGTTTTCGGAACTTCAGTGTTCAAAAAAGTATACAAAAGCTAGACGTTAAGAACGTATCCAATAAGCGAGCAGCGGATTGCGAAGCAATCCGAAATGAACTGCGAAAGCAGTTCCGGGGGTTGGCGAGCGCCAGCGAGCAGGGGTGAAGCCTCCTAGTTATATTATAACCGTCTTTGTACAGTTGACACATTTTTATGTGTTTACGACTACCAATGTTCAACTGCGCAGAATTGTAATTTTGTACCCAATCCATGGGAATTCCTGGATCAAGTATTGGAAGAAATTTTGCCTTCGTGAAGGACTTTTTTGATGGAACTAACCCCATTCGCGTTACATGCAGAAGAAAAACACGAAAATCTCCCACGGTTAGCCTGGCGGCAAGGGGACTTTAATTTATGATCCAACAACCACTAAGAATATTTGACGTCAGCACTGTGGTCGGTGTAAGCCGGATGCGGAATTCGCATCTACCAGTTTGAACCCGGATCACCTCGCCATCATGGCTCGTCTTCAACAAAAAGTCGATAACAACTATGAGAGGATGTTTTTGACGGATGTCAAATGATTCATTTGTTAAGTTAGTTCTAAAATTGTGCTGCTGCAGACTTTTTAAATTTTTTTTTTAACTCCTTGCCAGTGTCGCCCGAATGCAGTTCAAGCAACTACTACGTGCAGTGTTCGTGATGCCTGATCTGACTGCAGGCGGAAGAAACGTTTCTATTTTGTGAAGCCCGAGCTGAGTTCGTGTCTACTTAAGGATACTTAATTCACTATTTTCCTAATAGATGGCATTAGTGGTCCTAGTTTTTCATCCATTACGACTTCAGTCGAGGGTGGGAAAATGTGGTTCGGGGGAGGGATAAGATATGTGAAATTCAAGTATTGAAAATCATATTGTTGCGTTTTCATATTATACTATACAAGTTATATTATATTTAGCTTCAAAATTTTGTTTCATTTGCTCTGATTGAATAAGATGCGCGCGTAATCTATTACTTCTTTATGTGCATGTAAAAATTAAAAATACAATAGTTATTGCATTTTAAATGTCATTTTTCCAATAAAAAAGCATTTTCTAACTTCATAATAATATAAAGAGCAAAATTAAGCATTAAAGTTTTTTTTCTCCAATTTTTGGTACATTTTTCTGAAATGTCACTGTTAGGGCGTTAAAGAAGAAAGAAAAAACTTTAATAGTTTTTCAAGTCAGTAGTGCTATTTCTTGATAAAATTTGTAACTATTTTCGAGATTTGTTGAGAAAAAAAAATGGCAGAATGAAGTAAACCGTACAAATGCATTTCTTATACTTTTTCCCCCCTCGATATTTTATATCATCCGTTATTTTAAGAGTATTTCTTTTTATAAATTTCTTTTATACAGAGCAAGGATTTTTTTTGAAAAAAAAAATAAATTAAATACACTAGCTAACACAACGCCTTAGACACAAACATACATTTTGATTTTCCCCTTCAAAAC